CATCACCCAACATCCAGCACCTAGCACCCAATGCCCAACATCAACTCCCATGCTACAGGTAGGCTTATCAGACTTTTTCTGATGCTCAGTTCTTTTCTTTAGTCCTTTATTTCCTCATCCTAACTCTTATAATAAGTCCCCTGTTGTGTAGTAGTCATAATGGCTGTTTTCTGGATGGAGTTTCTATTATCAGTTATGCTAATCTAATCTTGTAAACAAAACAGTCTCCAAATCTTGTGGTTGAAAACTATAATAATTTCATTTTCTCTATAATTCTCTATAATTCTGTTTGGTTTAAAAGGGAAGTTCTTTTCCTAGTTATGATCAGAGTCTCATGACTCTAAGTGAAAAAATCTAAAGGGTTAACTATTTTTCTTGGTAGTCTGAGAGTTGCCAGTACTCTCCATTAGCGTAGTTGGAATTTGAAAGGTCAGATAGTGTCCGCCAGAACACAAAAGTGGAAAAATCTTCATATCTGCTGCCTTCTATTAATGAAGGCAAATAGTGCCGCCGGTTCAAAACTATTGAGGGAAAGGATTACACAAGGCCATGAATAATAGGATATGTGCATCTTTAGAATCCATTTTGGGTACCAGGCAGCAGAATATTTTTTGGGGGACACTGCAGTTGGACTTCATTTTTTCTGTGTTATGTTGAACTGTGCTCTTCTGAGGCCTATTTTATGCTGGTAGGGTTATTCTTTGGGCACCATGTTTGAGTCTCACTACTTATATAAGCACTCTTGGGCACTCTGCCCTACAACATCAGCCATCATTGCATCAATAGAAATATAGGTTGACATTTCCCTCAGTCGTGGTTGAGCAACTGACGCTGTGATTGCATATCGATTCTCAAACTACAGCATGGACAAATCTTCAGAGGTAGGTGTGTATCTTGTGACACTGCAGATGGCCTGTGTCCACAGATATCATCCTCTTATATTGCTGTTTGTTCTGCCCTGAAGACATTTTTTAAGTGTCTGAGGTTGGTATAGGAGCTGTGACCTTTCACTTATGGCTCCTTTTCTCACTTGGACAGTTTAAGGTGATTTTCCACTTCTAGATTCACTGCCAGAATCATTGTACCTAAGCTTCTCTTAGTAACCCTGATACTTTCACATGACTAACTAGACCAACTCTGAGATCACGAGTGGTGTCATGTGGCCTAAATGGACAGCTCCTGAGGACACTTTATGATGCAGCCACTGTCGTTAGTTTTTCCTGTGGTAGAGACAGGGCTGGTTCTGTGAGATTGTTCAGTTGTTCACGGCTCTGTGCTTAGAAAGGCTCTGAACTCAGTTCAAGTCTTTGTTATTGGCATCTGGAAATATCTATTAATTTTTTAAGGGAGAGTTTCCCTTTTTATTTTGACCTGCCAAAATAGCATATAGCATATAGCTTGTTCTCCCATTCAACTATCTAATCCCTGACAAAGGGACCAAAAACATGCAATGAAAGAAAGATGGCCCCTAAATAAATGATGTTTGGAAAATTGGCTGTACACATGTAGAGGTTTGCAGCTAGACCCCATCTCTTTCACCATGTACTAAACGAAAATCAAAATGGATAAAATATAAGCATTTAATATGCTGGAATATGGAATAGACAAAACTCTTGAAGACTTAGGCATTTCCAAGACCCTTCTGACCAGAATCCTGCTGGTGCATGAAATAGTACCAAGAATCAACAAATAGGATCCTATCAAATTAAGAAGCTTCTGCACAATCAAGAAAACAATGGCCAGAGTGAA